ATATAAATCTGTATATATTAATATAACAATCAAAATGATATGAGTTGATATTAAAAGGTCTCAGAGTGTAAAATTTTATTTTTGTTTTCTTTATCTTTTTTATTAAAAAAATTATAACTTAGTAAAAAAATTTGAAATATAAATTTTGATGATAAAAATATATTGCTATTAATATCACACACAATTGTATTTTTTGACATAAATTTTTTACAAATGAAATGATTTCTATGCAAAGACTAAATTTACTCAGGCCTAAAGATTCGTATGAACTTAGGATTAGAACATACAAAAATAATATATCCGCAATTTCTAACTAAAACAACACAATTACTAATTTAGTGATGATAAAAGGTTCACCAAAAAAAAAAGTAAGATTATTCAGAATTTTTTTTAAGCAATTTTGATTAGGAATTACAGTTTAATTTTCTTATAAAAAATATAAACATGCAAATTATTATGTTATTTTGTAAAAAAATATAAACATACAAATTATTATGTTATTTTGTAAAGAAAAATATAAACATGCAAATTATTATGTTATAAATAAATATGTAAATGTCATTTTGTTTCTATTTGTTTTTGGAAAATAAAGTTTACATGTTTCACCATCTTTCTACTTGACATGTTTCACCATCTTTCTACTTGACATGTTTCACCATGTTTTATGTTAAAAAAAATATATGGTTGAATCTTAAAAGTATGCCATTGTGGTATGTGTGTCTCTAAATTGTGGTTTATTGAATTCAAATATGAGGTGGATGTGTTTATTAGGATCTGAGATATGCATGATCAAAATCTAACTGTAACCGTATTTTGGAGCATAACCGGACCGTTTCTCTACCATAAAAGAACCAAAATTTTAACCTTTAAACATAAAAATAAATCAGTTATGTTTATCAAAAAATAATAATTGTAACCGTGTTAACCGTATTCGTATCAAAAACGTTTGGTTAACCGCATAATTAACCGTTTGGTTAACAATTTTAAAATAAATTATTGTTGAAAATAATGTTTTAAATATATGTGAACTAGTAAATCTAATCCACTACTCATTTCTGTTAACCAAATAAAAACGATTTAATTTATTTGTAAGTTCATGACCATTTATTTTATTATTTGTTCGTTTGTTTGATAACAGAAATATCACTTATTTAACTAATTTACTAAAAATATTTGAACCATATAATTATATATATATATAATATTGTAAAATAAATATGTTTGATATATCATTTTTGGTTTTTATTAAAAAAAATAAGAAAATAAGAAAATAGTGTCTATGATATTAATTATGTTACATTCATTAAATAAGCGCAATCGCATTTTACCGTATTTAATTGTAACTGCAATTTACTGTATATAGAATATTAAAGTTATGGACTTATGGTTAAATTAGAAAATATATAACCGTAATTAGTGGTTAATAAATTGTAACTGCAATAACCATGTCCATAGCCATAACCGTGGTCATGCCTAATCTCAGAAATTTTTGATACTAAATAGAGGTTATGATGTGATTCGTCATACTAATTTGTCTTGATTACCTAAGATATAAGACGAATGCTAACTAGTATTTAAATGATAAATACACTAAGGGGGTGTATTCAAAGTGAAATTTCAAGTGATTTGTAAAAAGTTTACAAATCCACTGTTATTCAAACATGAATTTTAAAAAGTCTCATGAAATCCACTGTTATTCAACTAATAATTTCAAAATCCACGTTAAAATCCATTGTTATTGAAAACAATTTGTGGATTTGGTTTGTAATGATTTTGAAGGATATTAGAAGATTTGGGAGGATTTCTTTAGTTGAAAATACAGAAATCCAAATCCCATGGTTTTTGGTGAGATTTGAAAGAATTTTACAAAAGTCATATGAACTTCCCTAAAATCATCAAAATAATTTAAAAACTCAATAAAACTCAAATCTTTTAAAATTCCATTTTGAATACACCCCTCTAAGGGTCTCTTCGTTTGGTGAGCTGGATGAGTCATAAGATACAATGTCTGAACGCGGTATCTGAATTCAGTATCCAAATGTTATTCGTTTCGGTTTTTGGATCATATGTCCATAAATTGTATTTGGATGCAGTTATGGAAGTTTTGTATTTTGATATTTGTATATGTATACAATACTTGCCAAATGATCAAAATGCCTTTTAATTTGTGTTAAACATGTTTTAATAGTTTAAATTATGTTTAAAACTATATAATTATCATATTAAATTTAAATAAATATTTAAAAATGAATCTATTTTTTGTAATTTAAAAATGCACAACAAAAATTACTGTGAACTTTAAAATGTTTTCTTAGTTTTTGGCAGGAAATTAAAATTTTGCGCTTTGGCGGAAAACCATGATTTTGTGGTTTTGACGAGAAATTCGGGTTTGGCGGGAAAAATCATAATTTTGCAATTTTCACGGGACGATAAAATTTTATGGTTTTGGCGGAAAATCAAGATTTTTCGGTTTTAACGGAAAATAATATTTCATGGTTTTGTTAGGTTTAGAGTTTTTATATAAATCGAATTTTAAAAAATAAATTGGCTTTGAAAAACTAAACTAAACACAAACCTACATAAAAATTCTTATTAAAATTAAATAAAAATTTGAAAAGATTAGATAACATAAAATTTACCATTAGATGCCACAAGTTTTTAGTTTTTACGTAATCAATCTCTTAAATTAGCATCTGAGAAATTCTTTTCCAAATCTTCTATAACACATTATGAGTTATGACATATCACATATCTCTTATACGTATTAGATAAACCCACATGTCTCTATACGTATTAGATATACATACAATTTGTATGTGTTCTAGCTAGCTTCATTGGACATATCATCAATGACCGAACCATGATTTTGAAACCTACTTTGCACACTACATATATAAACTCGCAATACGACAATACCTACAACAAAAATGCACAGTTCAGGTAAGTGGTGTAAGTGTGTAACACTAATACCTCTGATCATATACATAGAGATGCCGTGTCATGATTTCTGTCGAAGCAAAATGAGTTTATTTTTGTATGAATCAAATGATGTCATCATCGTTCTGATATTCGTATACTAAATTTTGCTCGAAGAGATGGGTTTTCGTAAATTTGGCAGCTTTTTTGGTGTCTCTCAGCAGGTCAAACAAAAAATTCAAACTATGACACAAAAGAAAATTACAATAATATGAGCATTGACTAGACAATAAAATGGATTCCTTTTGGTCTTTCTATTTAAAGTAATCATTTTGAAATATATTTTTCTTATTATCTATATAATATATTAATTACTAATATATGATCTATACTATACATGTGTACGTATATCGCACGATGTTATAATTGCAAACATATTGTCCATGTCAACCTTGGATTACATAATAAACATTTTATATTATACTAGCAGTTGATCCGCGCTATGCGCGGGAGGTTTATAATATTTTTTTTTAATTTTTTATTCATATTGTGATATTTTATTATATTTTTAATTGATTTTCAAAATATATTATAATTATTTTCCCTTTAGTTATTATCTTTCAATACTCAAATTTGGATTAAAAGCATTTGATTCAGTTTATGAAATATCATTTTTTTTTCTTTTTGATCATGTTATAAACTAATTTTTTACTTTCAATTTCATTTTTTCTCTTTAAAATTATATATATATAATTACGTAAATGTTGTTTATTCTACCATAAATTTAAATTTTACTTCCAATCTAAAACTCAGTAGCTCATTTAAAATTTTAAACTATGATCAATTTAAAATTAAAGTTGAATTATATTATTACCACTAATATAAAAAGATTAAAGTATTTCTTATTTTAATATTTCATTTGTTTTACATAATTTATTTTTATTTATATAAACTTTCTATTAATTAAATAAATAACATAAATATGCACTAAATGAATGTTTTAAATTTAATTTAATATACAAATAAAAATGTGGCTTAGGTAACATCATGAGAAGAAAGAAAAGCTAACTATATATATATTTAGTTTGCATTCTAAATAAATCAACATATGACGTTACTTTCGTTGTTACGAACTATATAGACCAAAATTTCCATCGATATGTGATAAAGTCATTACGAAACAGAATAAATGAGATCGACAATAGAAAAAAATTATATATATAGACTAACACTATGAGAGAAATAAAAAATAGAAATGGATTAATAAAAAGGTGAAAACAAATATTAGTGGAAAGAGAATGCAGAGAGAGTAAACTTTCTCCATGCTCTTTCGAAGCTGATGCAGCTCATCTCTCAATCTCTCTCTTTTTCTCTCTCTCTCTCTCTCTATTTCTCTCTGTCTCTCTCTCTAGTGTAAGTGGCGATAGCTTCTCTAGGGTACTAAGATCAATCCTTCATTTTCAATACCATTTCATTACTTACTTAGAATCTTCTCATTCATTTCTTACTCAAAATATAAGTTATACTTTGTAGATCTATGACCTAACTTGTTTTCATGTTTCATGGTTGATTTTTAGGTGCTTTCATGCTTGGTTAGCTGGTTAAGTGGGAAGAGGCCAAAGCTTCTCTAGGGTTAGATTAATCCTTCATTTTTCATTACTTACTTAGAATCTTCTCTAGGGTAAGCTTCATATCCATCAGATTTTGTTATAAAATATCAACGTGTCTCTTTTCATGTCTTTGTATCCTAGGGTTTCTTGAAAAAACTTTTCTGCAAAGTTATAAAACACTCCATCTACTGTGTTGGTTTTTGTTTCTCTACTCTAGATCTGTCTTTCCTACAATGATTTCATTTTTATGGGTTTTAATTACAACTTTAAGTTAAGTTGAAATATCTAATAAATCATGTGAAACAAAAGCTGTTGCATAACATATAGGGTAAGATTTTGACTCTCTTAAGTTTTCAGAAATCAATTAATTAGAAACAAAAAGAAGAATCCAAAATGAGTTGTCTTCCATGTAACATCACCTCAAATTCAAACTTAAAATTTCTTGACAGGGTTTTTGGCAAGTTATCTGATATTATGGATAGTACAAGGATTGAAGACTTACTACCTCTTCCTGTAAGTATATATAAGCATTAAGCAACTTAGCTTCAGTGACTAAGTAAATTAATAAGATTATATTCTATTTGCTTTGTTTATACTATTTATATTTAACTTGGATTCTCGTAATAATCTAAACAGGTTATCTACGAGTCTGATGAACTGTTTTCAGAAATAAAAAAGATTTGCAAGATTATTCCACTGTCACTATTAATCAAGATTCTTGAAGTAGAGCCTGAAGCTAAATTTGAGCTAATCCGAGTGACAAACATAATACGAAAAAACACACCAACTGAGGAAAGTATTGATATAACCTATGCTCGCTTGAGAAAACACAGGGTACGTAATTACTATACTAATATTTCGCTAATAGCTATATACGTATAATTTATATATTATACTAATAAGTTTTGTGTGTGTATTCTTTTTGGTCATTTCATATTACTGTATATGAGTATAAATTTAATTAGTTTGGTCTTTCAAATTTTCCTATGTTGATCAATAATAGGTAGTTCCAGATGAAACAAAGACTAAGGACTGGAGTCCTTATTATGGCATCGTGCTAGATCAGGGAAATCACGGTAGCCCAATTTTTCCCTTATTATTTTTACAAATATTTTAGAATTTATAATTGGAAAAAAACCCGAAAAATACCTGGTTTAATTTTTTTTGGACGTTTAAACCTGAATTTTTATTTTTAGAAAAAATACATATACTAATTAACATTTCTGATTTAAATCCCAAGAAAATAAAATTTTGTAATTTTCAAATCTACGATTTCGAAACAAAAATATAATTCCAATTTTACTCCTACTATCTAAATTAATGTTTAAATGATATGGTGGTAACTTTTAAATGATGTTGCGAAATTTTTTATTTTTATTTGTTAATAATTATATTTTAACTAAAAAATATTTTTTGATATTTTTGTTTTACTATTATTATTTTATTTATAGATAAAAATAAATAGAAAATAAAAGAAAATCTAATCAATTTATGTAAATTAAAGAAAGTAAATAGAAAGAAAGTTTATAAATAAATTTTAGTTTCACATACAAATCAATAATTACAAATTTTTAGGTCATTTTAAATCAGTTTTGCTTACAATTTTTCCAATAACACTTGAGTAAACTTTGTATTTTTAGATTTTTTGTAATATTTTTTATTTTTATTTTATAAATAAATAATAATAGTAAAAAATATAGCAAATAAATTTTATTTTTCAGTTACAATTAGTTTTTATCAAACAAAATTAGGTATTTTCGGTTTTTTCCCTTTTATAATTACAAATTTAGAAAAGGAATTTATAAAATATTTAATGTTTTTTTTCAGACATGTGTTGGGCAATAGTAGCAGCTGAATTGGTTAAGGCTATCAGATGGATTAGAGGGCGTGAAAGCGGAACGGAGTATTCTTTTCAAGAACTTATCGATTTTGTTGATCAAGAGAAGGGAAAGTATTCCAAAAAGAATGGTCACTTTTGCTATACACTAAGCATCATCAAAGCCTTGACATACATTGTAGAAAAGGGTATTCAAAGGGAGGTGGATCGCCCATTCGTTGGGTGTAGAGCAGTTCCGCCACCACGGATTCTATTAAATTCGGAACTCGGATTCATTGGTGCAGCAAAGAAGATCCCAACAATAGAAGAAGCACTCGTGCACTTGCAAAAACAGCCACTTGGAGCAGCTTTCCCAATCTTCCTTCCGGATTACACACAAATAAGAGAGGTTCTTGTTTTTAATTTATGGAAGGATTAGATTTGTTCATTTGCAGCTTTTTCTGTATGTTGGTTTTAAAGGGTTTGTGTGTGTTTCTATATATAGGAGATATATCAAGGACCCATGTACAAGGGTTCAATGTTTGTTGGCATGCATGCAGTATCAGTGGTAAAAGCTGGAGTTGATGAAAGCACCGGAGAAAGTTTTATGATGGTGAGATCATCTCATGGCGAGAAAATAGGAGTAAATGGTTACTTGAAAGTGTCAATAGATGTTATGCTCCTCCGAACAAGCAAAGAATGCCACAACAAGGATGCGGAGAGTTATTTCCAAACGCCCACGCCACTACTAACAAGGTTTTGCTATCCGGAACTTCTAGAGGAAAGTGAAGAGAAGAAACGGAAAAAGAAGTTAACGGATCAACTAGCAACAATGAACCGGAGGTTAGTTTTATTGAATAATAAAACATAACTATACATACGATTCATTGTTGATGATTAATACTACTTGTGTATTAATGTGATATGGCTCTTATTGTTTTCATTTGGTTATTAGTTTTGATGATATCCCATTTGATTATTATGTAGTGGAGCTGCATATATGCGGTTTGTTTGAGATAATTTTGTATTCTGAAGTGAGATTTTTTGATGTTTGTAGGAAAGGAAACACTTCAAGCTAAATGTGTTCTTGCCGTACGTGTTGCTCTAAGCACAAGAAACACTTATATTTTAGCAAACTTCAGTAGTTTAATTTGTTACATTCTTGTTCTCTTGTAATTTCGACTACGTACTACGTGGATTTAATTGTTGTGGGATTATGCTTTAGTGATCTTTATAAGTATTATGCTTTCGTTTTATTTTATGGATTTCTTGTCGTATTTTCTTTCTTCAGTCATCATCAATCGCATTTTCATTATTTAAAGTATTTGTTTTTGGTAGAACGAGCTGTTATTTGAAGTTTGTGAAAGAAATATAGATCCCGATCTAAAATTAAAAAAAAAATTAAAAAAAATTTGGGTTCTGTGTTTACTGTTTAGCAAAGAAAGCTTTTGAGTTTAGCAAAATTTGGATACATAATTGGTTGTAGAGTTCAGCTTTCATGTCTCTGCTAAACATGACCACGGTTACGGTTAATACGGTTATAGTTAATTAACTATCAGTTAACAGTTCTAATTTTCTTTAACCGTAATCTTAACCATTATATATACGGTTAAGACGGTTACAATTACATACGGTTACGATTATTTGATAATTATTATAATATTAATATTGGAAACAAAATCTTATATTTTTAACCTTTAAATAATATATGAAATAATATTATTTTACAAGTAAAAAATAGATGTGATTCAAATTTTTATGCAATATTATACGGGTTAAATCATAAAATTAACAATTAAAATACAGTAGTACAATTTTTTTTTGCCAGTCTGTTGAACAATCTTTTATACTAATCAATTTTTTTTTATAAATATTTTTTAAAATATCGTCCATTTTAGCAAAATTGTGAAACCAATTTCGGTAACCATTTTAACAAAATTGTAATTAAGTTTCCGTAGACATCCAATATTTTATGTTAAAAAATACAGTTGTGTGTGATATTAATCGCAACATATTATCATCAAAATTTAGATTTCAATTTTGTTTTTATCAAGTTAGAATTTTATTTATAAAAAAGATCAAAAAAAACAAAACAAATTTTTTTTTTTACACTCTGAGACCTAATATCAACTCATATCATTTTGATTGTTATATCAACTCATATCATTTTGATTGTTGAAATAGATATAAATCTGTATATATTAAATTTCAACTCATATCATTTTGATTGTTGTATTAATATATACAGATTTGTATATCTATTTCAACATGACACTTACTTAAAATTGCATTAAAATTACAAAACTTTACAAAAATAATAATTTATCAATTAATACACGTGTCTTAATACAGAGATCTTACAAAAAAAAAAAAAAAATCCAAAAAAAGTTCAGAATCCCTAAATCGATTGAAGCTTTGGATCACGGCGATGGCGGATGTTCTACGGCGGCTGTTGGATAGTGGAAAGTTATCTGACGAGAAGTGCCACTTGATTTTGCGTGGATTGGGTAATCTTGTCGACGAATTGTATTTACCCAAAAACGATGAAGAAGAAGAAGACGACGATGAATTGTATTTATCCAAAAACGAAGAAGAAGACGAAGACGAAGAAGAAGAAGAAGAAGACATAAATGACTTCGTACAATTTATTTTATCCGAAAACAAAAAAGAAGAAGAAGAAGAAAAAGTCGAAGGATGGACTTCTGAGGAAGAGGAAGAATTTGACGAAGAATACTGTCGCCAAGTTAATGACTCTCTGGTACACTCTCTCTGTCTCTGATTTTGGATTTGGTATTTAGGTTTTGGGATTTGGAATTTTCTAGGAAAGCTGAACTAAACTTTGGGTGTAATAGGGATTCGATATTGATGGCAATGTTCGTATCCCAAGATGTGGAATCAGACCATTCTTTCTAGGCGATCGTAAACCCCGTAGCCATATCGCTCTTTATGGCCGATTAGGAGTTCATTGCTTCAACATTGAGCAGGTTTGTTTTAGTGTTACCCTTTTACTTGAACTTGTGCTTTTTTGGCTTGGTTCAGAGTTGTGACGTTATTATTATTTTTCATCTTAGGGAAGGAAGTTGCAGTATGTGCATATACCCAAATTCAATATTGAATGTTATTCTTTAAGTAGGCCTTACTATATAACCGTGGAGGTGAATGATCTTAACGATGATTCACCTCACACTTTTCAGACCTTAGTCAATAGACCTCTCCCTAGGAACGGAGAGAACTTGAGAATCTGTACTGAATTTTGCAGAATCAAACCCCAGACACCTTGTAAGTAACTTTATTAGTATATACTACTGATTTTTTGGGGTATACAAACAGTTTTAATGTGTGTTTGTTAACACTGTAGCGGAAGAGACTATATCTTTGCTAGATGAGCAAGCAATCGATAAGTTTTACAGAGGTTCTATGCCTAAGTTTGTGTCTAAACCAGGACCTGATGATGATAAGCTGAGGTTCTACGAGGTGACTTTACATGTTTCTTCTATATATATGTGTTTGAAAGAAACCTTCTTCTATAAAATTGTTTTAAGGTGTCTTGTGTGTGTTTGACAGGTTCAGGAGCAGGACATATGTGAATATGATTGGCTACGTCTATATACTGAATTTGCGCTTTTCTCCTTTTACAGCTATAATGAGGTACTTGAGAGTGGGGAACTTTTTGGCTTTAGTCTTATTCTATCTTCGACAACTTTTTTAGTTCTAGTAAGCTTCTTTTTTTTTTTCTCTTTTGCAGGATGGATTTGAGTCTTGTTTGCCTGTGGAGGAGATCAAGAAGATACTTGTGGAAACTTGTGAAACTCATAGTGATCCGCGTCTGAAGCTGAAGTCGAGTAATGCTATCTTCCATATAACCTTCAGCGCCAAGAGTCGCAACTACAAATCGGTTGTAAGGAGAACCATGGATGGGATATCGGGACATATCGTTCTCGAAATTAATAGCTGCAGGGTCGATCAACCAAGCTCTGCCTGAACCGCCTAGTTTAGTACTACAAAAAACAAACAGTCTATAAGCCGCCTAGTTTTCTAGTTTGAATCGATTAGTTAACGGCTCTAGTATACTCTGATTCTTTAATGTGGCCAAAACTTATTTATGTCTTTCAGTCATGGATGTACTTTGGTTTTCACCCCCAGCTAATCTTATGAAGGTGTGTCTGTACATTCGTAGACACTATTATGTATTTAATTGTAGTATGTTGTCCCTCCTTGTGAAGCTTTTCTGGACCAACGAGACATGTGATGGAGAAGATACATATCAGGGTTCGTTTTAATCAGCTTGTCTTAAGTTTATTGAATTAGGAGAATTTCTCTTGATGAACAAATTTGTTGTACTGTATCTTGTTTTCTTTTGCTCTTTGATTGCAATTTATTTAATTTGAAGACGACGACACATGTATTTTAACATGATCATCTACAACATAATTCTACTTTTGTGTATCGTATCCGAAGATTTTGAAAAGTATATATGTAATGTTTTGGGAAGACTATGAATCATGATCACTATCTAGCATGGACATCTACTAATCAAGTTCCCTTGATCATGGTTTATATGTTCGTAACGTTGTAATTAGCAAAGAAGTTGATGTGCTTAGTTGCATGGGGAAGCAATAGATGAGTTTCACAAAGGTTGTTTTCTCTTTGTGTTTGATCGAAGTATATGCTCTTGTACAATGTTAATATGTTAAGACAAATCAGTATATTAATTTTAATTTGCATTCGATTTCATGCAATAAAACTCTATAATAACATAAAGGTGTCGTCGCGTAATGTAGTTTTTGAAGAAAATTAAACTCTGAATATCGAAAAGCAAAACCACAAACTTAGTAACAAACTTATATATAGCATTAACTAACAACACCTGAAGAAATAAGAAAAACAACAAAAAAAACCTAAAACCCAATCCTTGTAGCTTCATCTCCAAGCAATCTAATCTTGAGATTCTTTAACGTTTCTGAACTTGAGGAATTGTTGAACCAAAAACATAAACGGAGGAGAAACAAGTAGACACATAACTCCCGCAAAGAATCCGAACAGGTTCATGAGGACAAAGGCTAAAGTCAAGAAACCACATACCATAGCCTTCTCTTTGAGACTCCTGAAGGAAACATCTAACTCATCATCCAAGCCAAGTAAAATGCAGAAAGCACATCCACAGTAATAAGAAATTGCCATCAGTACAGCCGCATGAAAAGTTACTTTCGATATCTCAAAGTTGTAAGAATCCATGTACTTAGATTGTCCTATCATCCCAACAGGAATCAGCGTTGCTACCACGAGAATGTTGTACATGATCGCCAAGTTGTTGAAATCTGCTTCCGACGGTATGAATCTGTTGCTATATCCCTTTCCTAGCGTCATCGTTAACTTTAAGAGAAGAGACAGACGCGCAAATCTTGAAGAAACTGAAGATAGAGAGAACCAAATCGAAGACTAGGAATATCATAGTGTCTTCGATTAAAGCTTCTCTTATAACATGGAGAGCTGTAAAATTTATAGTTTCAATTGGAACAAACTCTGAATCCCAAAAGCAAAACAAAACTACTAGTTGTGGTAATTTACAAGTCATAAAAATCATCCCGATACGATTTAACCGTAAGAAAACCCTGATTTGAACCTTCATCTCCAAGCAATCTTATTGAATCTTGAGATTATTCATAGCGTTAATTACAACACATGAGAAGAAACAAAAAAAAAACCCTAAAAGAAGGCTAAAAACCTAGCAATCTAAAGGTAATATAGATTGGAATCTTCATCTCCAAGCAATCTAATTAATCATGAGATTATTATTACATCACCTGATGAGAAAGAAAAAAAAAACCCCTAAAAGAAGGCTTAAAACCCTAGCAATCTCAAGCTAATATAGATCGGAATCTTCATCTCCAAGAAACCTAATCTCGAGACTCTTTAACGTTTCTGAACTTGACGAATCCAAGAACCAAGAGAAGACTCGGAGGAGAAACTGGTAACAACAACATCCCCCAGACGAATCCGAACAAGTTCATGAGGTATAAAGCCAAAGTCAAGAAACCACTGATCATAGCTAACTCTTTATCAACCCTTATCTGTGTCTCTTGATCTTCAAGCGTAAGCACTTCGTTTAGAATCCAGCGAACACTTCCAGTATGATACGAAACTGCCATCATCAGAGCCGCAAATCCCATCGCCTCACGGAAACTTACTTTCGAGAACTCGAAGTTTGCGAAATCGATGAACTCAGATGAACTCCATATCATCCTCAAAGAAAACAGCGTTGCTAAAAGTATGATGTTGAATCTGATCGAGAGTTTGTTGAAAGCTGCTTGAGAAGGTATCCATCTACAAGTCAATCCCAATTGCTTCATCTCTTTCTTTTAACAGCTGAGAAAGATCCTAAAGATGAACAAATCTTTTTCTTGTTGAGAAACACTTATCCAAGAATCTTGCAAGTTTTTTGTGGTTTTTATCTTTGCGTTTTTGGTATCGGTTTTACGGTTTATAAGGGCAATGTTAGGCTTCTCTAGATCTAGTCCCATCTGTTTGACCTGATTTGACCCGGATCAACCGGTTCCTAATCTTATTGTGTTCCGGTTTAGTTAGTGTGAAAACTGAACCAGATTGACTCTTTATTAATCTAATCTCACTTCTCATAAGTATAAACCAAACCAAACTCTGAACTGGAAAAAATAACCCAAACTTATGTGGCAAAGTCATAGCAATAGTTATAACACCTGCAAAAAAACTAAAAATAACCCCTAAAATCTAGACTTGAACCTTCATCTCCAAGCAATCTAATTTTTTAGATTACTCAATAGCAAAAACTACAACACCTGAAAACCAAAAAGAAATAAACCACCACTAAACAATTCAACCCTAAAAAGAAAAACCAAATCCGCGTGGTTGAATCTTCACCTCCAAGCAACCTCTAATCTTGAGATTCCTTTAAGTTTCTTCTTCTTCTCTTGACAAATTCTTGAACCAAAAAGAGACTCGGAGGAGAAATAGTTAAACATAAAAGTCCAAAAAAGAATCCAAACAAGTTCATAAGATAAAAAGCCAAAGTCAAGAAACCACTGAGCATAGGCACCTCTATATCAATCCTTTTGAAACCAGTAGTGTTCGTCTTACTCTTATCTTCCAACATAGCAGACGTGATGCACTGAGTAGATCCATGCCAATAAAAAAATGCCATCATCCTAGCCAACATCCCCATAGTCTCATGAAAAGTTACTTTAGATAACTCGAAGTTGTCCAAATCGATCATCTCAAGTTTTCCCATTCGACCAAGTGAAACCAGCGTTGCAATAAGGATGATGTTGTATTTTATCGCGAATTTGATGAATTCTGCGTCGGAAGGAATCAACTTGTGACTAAATCTTACTTGTTGCTCCATAGTTCTTGACAGAGAAGGAGGTGAAGATGAGTTTGAGTTGAACCAAATCAGGTAAAGAAAACGCTTAGGTTTTATATACAAAGAGATCAACATTGGCTTAAACCGACAAATTATATATTGCTCTAGTGAATCTCATATTACATTAGCAAATATAAAATTAAAAGTTATTTTAAAGCCTTCAAAGACGTTGTAATATGAACATATATAATTAATATACTTGAACTATATATAGTACAAATATAATGATAATTGTAATTAATTATTATCATATTTTTGACAAGAAATTCGAGGCTTTTATACATTCACAATGAATATGTTTTGATGTGTAAATATCAAATTTTTGTAGCTTATTATATTTGTAAGTCTATATATGTCAAGTTTGAACCTCATATTCAATACTTTGGCTTAGAAATTGACATGGTCTAAAATGAAATCCTACGTTTGTTATATTGAAGAAGATACCTATAATATATTGTATGAAATTGTTTAAAATTTATTGAAAAAATAAACTGAATTCCTCTTATCAAGAAGTTAAACGCCTTATATTGTTCAAGCTCAAGCTTTTAATTTGTTGATTCAATATATTTATTACAGAGTAAAAAATGTTAATTTGTAGAATGAAAAAAAAAATCAGTATTTTGCTTTTGCTTTCAAGTGAACAAACTCTCTCATTACATGAAGTAGTAACAGTACCAAAACTCATAGCAATTAATTACACAATGCATGAAAGAACAAAAAAATTACAAATTAACCCTAAGAGAAAAGGAAAAAAAACCCTAAAACCAATCCGTGTGGTTTGAAATCTTCACCTCCAAGCAATCTAATTAACCTCGAGATTCTTTTAACTTTCTGAACTTGATAAATTCTTGAACAAGAAATAGAAACGGAGAAGAAACAAGTAGACACAAAACTCCCAAGAAGAATCCAAACAGGTTCATAAGCAAAAAGACCAAAGCCAAGAAACCACACAACATAACCATCTCTTTGTCGATTCTTCTGATATCAATGGCCTTATTACCTCCCAACAAAGCAACGTAGAGTGATGCGTATATGATTCTGTTAAAAGGTACATACCAATTAACACTCACTGATGTCATCATCATAGCTAAATACCTCATCGTCTCACGAAAAGTTGCTTCTGATAACTTGAAGTTGTGGTAATCGAACATCAACTTAGGTAGTCCCGTTTGAACAAGTACTATCATCCATAGTGAAAAGAGTGTTGCAGCAAGGATTAGGTCGTATTTGATTGCGAGTTTTATGAAGTCTGCGTCTGATGGAATCAATCTGTGACTAAAGCCTAGTTGTGTCATTGTGATTAGCAGAGAAGAAAGTTGTGAAATCTTTGACGAAAGTGAAGATAAAGGAGACATTGTTTGAATTGTGAGTGTGTTTGTGCAAGTCGAATGATGAACTTAAAAAAATTTATAAGCTCGTTAATATAATTGTTGACAAAGGAAACTTAACTGTTCTATTAAACATAAGCTAAAAGGATAATTCCCATTTTTCTTTTTTTAAGAAAACATTTTTTCCATTTTCATTGCTTATGTGTTTTTGAGTAATAAGATTTCGATTTGGCTCTCTTTAATCAAAACTTGTTATCCGGAAAAGATAAGAGAATCAGAAGGTTTTCATAAAGACTACTACAGGCAAAACTCCAAAGATATCATAATGATACTAATACTCTTAACCCAAAACAGAGGAATGGTTAATAAGCTCTATGAAACCAACACTTCACTTGGCAGCAGCATGCTTGGCCTTGTTGTGAGACTCAAGTGCATTTCCTGAGTTGAACGTCCTGCCATAAAGATCAGCCAATAAGCAAATGTATCGAACAATGAAGAGATAGTTGGAGAAAGAGAGAGAGGGAAGCTCACTTCTTGCATGAACCACAGGAGATTTGACTGGCTGACTTTGGGCTCTGGGCTGCAGTAGTTGGGGTTTTTGCACCTTTCTTTCCCGGGTGGGGTGTTGCGGTGTGTCCACCTTTCTTCTTCTCATCTGTGTGCCAAAGAAGGAAGAAACAGCAGGTTCAAATCAGTACTTATGTATCCCAAATTCAGTGAATAATGTAAAAGAATGGTTTGTATCTTTACCTGTTTTCTGAGGAGTAACAGCTACTTTCGCCTTCTTTGATGACATGGGTGTTTTGGGGGCTTCTTCATTAGCTCTCTTCTTGCCTGATACAGCCTTCTTAGGTGTAGGTATCTCTTCTTCTTCCTCTGAATCATCGTCTTCATCAAAATCCATCTGCAATTATCATGACACAATAAATGTGTTACTAACATTTCTTGAGAAAATATGTCTCCTCTCCTCACTAAACAAAGAGACGAAGCTATACATATTACTCTAAACAAAAGAGACAAATCACAGAAAGCTATATAGCAACTCACTCCTTCAGAATCAGAGTCATCCTCTTCATCAACATCAGCTGCCTTAGCATTCTTTGTCACTTGTGCAGGCTTGGCCTTTGGTTTTGCAGCATTCCCTGCATAAGAACCAATTATCAAGAACACAAACCAAGGCATCAAGTAGTCTCTGCCTAGTTTAAGTACTTCAAGGTAATAAGAAATACCATTAGCAGTAACGGTGGCAGGAACTTTTTCAACCACTTCCTCTTCTTCTTCTGAATCTGTCAAAAAACAAGACATAATGACTAATTAACAACCAAAGCTAATATCACAATAAATAAATAAAAGACGAATCAAAAGAGAGACTCACCATAAAAGTCATCATCTCCAAATGTGAAGAACACAATCAATAAAGAGTTAAGGAGTAACCATGGAAACTCAAATCTATAGAAAACATTCAAAACCATACACAAAAAAAGAACAATATAAACATCATCATAAAGGATATTCATCAGCACAGTTGGGAGATGTGTATCCAACAAAGTGGACACTTCCATTTCCATTGTGGGAAATCTCAAAATCATTCTGGAATACCAAATCACAGAAAATCTGAGGGATGTTCACAGTTGAAAGGGTTCCCAATAAAAGTTTCTTGTCGCCAAACTTTACATGTACAGCCACAGTCTCTTCCTTCTTGTTTTTACATTCTCCAAGAGATGCCTACACAAACAAAAGAAAGATTCAAGATTGTTTTAAAGGACCTCAAAAACACTCAGAATCAAAATCAAATCTATAACATTTGATAGTAAACCTGAGAAACGTGGATAAGTCTGTCATGTTCAGTTACCACTGTAACTGGCTTTCCTGGTTTAACTTCAATTCCTGATTACATCATTTACAGAGAAGAAAAAAAGCTCAAACATGAGTATCAAGAAACAGCTTCAAGTTAGTCCCTGTCATACCATTTCCTATACAATATAACCATTTCTATATGATAAAAATTAGAACTTAATACCCTAGAGGAAGCTACATACATAAGGAAGCAGCCACAAGAGAGAGTTCAAAAACAGAGTACACTAAACAGTAAATAGGTATTAGGAAACCCAAACAGAATGAGAGTATCAAGAAACAGCTTCAAGTTAGTCCATACAACACCATTACTATACAATATATCCATTTTTATCTGAGAATATTTCAAATTAAAACCCTAGAGGAAGCTACATACACAAAGAAGCAGCCACAAGAGAGTTCAAAAACAGAGTACACTAAACAGGTTTTTAGAAATCCCCAAAACGACTGAGACAAAACGTTGATTAAACGACTCAAACAGATAAGGTTCTTACCCCAGAACTCCATAGCTAAGAATCGAGGTCGAAAGGTTTGAAAAAGATGGGATTTTTAGGGTTTATGAGTTATGACAGCTAAAATGGAAGACGAAGTGTCGGAAAGGGTTTTTGAGAGACTATTTATAACAAAGAAGGTTTCAAGTACTTTAGGTTAAAAAAAGGCTCAAGACTTTTGTCCAAACCAAACCAAATGGTTCAAATCGGTTCTCTTCTCGGTACGGCTAATTCGATATTTATATAAAATCCGGTTTGCGCAGCGATTTTAAAGAATTTGTTATGATTTCGTCAAATCCAATTCGATTCGGTTTAGATTGGTTCGACTATTAGAAAAAAAAAACGGTTAAACCGTTCGGTTCGATCAGATTATACTTCGTAAATCGTAATCGGAGAAATCATCCTCCGTCGTAGCTCTCAGGGGAAAACGTCGTCCGAGTTAACCAAGCTTCACGAGCAGCGAAGCCGGAGATCGATGCTGCCACTGAGATCTCTCAATAAATTAAAGCTCAAGTAAGGGTTGTATTAGGGTTTTGATATGATTCATAGAGTAAAGTAGAGATTGTGTTAAGGTTGTTCTTATATGGGATTGATTAAAGTAGAAATTGAGGAGAAATTAACATGATTCATAGATTAGAAGATTGTGTTTGAATTGGGCTTTTTACGGGCATTGATTTGGTACCGTTTCTTCTGAGAAAGCTTCTGCCTTTAAGGATGTTGTTGCTGTTATGGAAGATTTGTTTTGTCTACTGAACAGCTTGGTGCTAAGATTAGGGAGTATTGTATCACTGCTCCAGACATGAAGAACCTTCTCTCTGATCCTTGTCCGTTTAACTTGATGTTTCAAAGATTCATTGGTTCTGCAACTATATTTGAATAGGGAACTGTGAACAGTGACACTCTATGCTGCTTCATTGGGAGAGTGTATCTTCTCCTAGTCAGTCTTGGCATTGACAACGCCAAGAAAATGAAATGGTCCATTATGCTGCAGAGTTCATATGGGTGGAATGGATTGAATGTGTTGGGATTGTGGATAGGTCTGCATATGACTGATGTGCCCGTTCGGTAAGAAACTTACCTGTTGTATATGTTTTCATCATTTCGTTTGATAGCTAGAGACTTGATGACTGGATCCTTTATTGTATACTTATATGGCAGGAAAGAAGTAGAGGTGTTCTAGTCAACATTTTTCATCTCTGGCTTCATAACTTGACCTTAAGTTCTCTTTTATTTCAGATATTTGTGGTTACTCATGTGAATAAAAGAAGTGGGGATTGCATTCAAGGGAAACAGAAAGAATGTGGTTGAATCATTGGAGGTAGACTGACTGAAGTCTATTTTTTTACTGAAATGCTTCTTTGTCTCATGGTGATGGTTTACAGTAAAGCAACATGTTTGGTTTAATGTTTTGTTAGGCGATGAATGAGCAAGAAGCTATGGAGATGAAAGCAACCTTGGAAGAATACAAAGGGGAAGTTGATTTTTATGTGTGTAATACCCTAAAGAAAAAGGTGAGCATCAAGAAGAATATGGTGTCAATCTCAAAAGAGAAAAAGAAAGAGCACCAACGGGTTTTTACTCCGTCAATGATTGAACCATCATTTGGGATCTGGTCGGATCATTTACTGTTTGTACGAGCATTGTTTCAGAACAGGGCCAAGCAAAGCAGGGGATGAACAGTTGAATGTGTTCTGTTTCCTCAGACAAAGTTATTTCCAAGGAACTCGCTTCGGGTTGGCATCTCACATAAAATTGACATCACTGGTACGTAAACAGAATTACAAGTTCTTAAAATCTTGAAAATGGAGCAGAGCGAATGAAGAAGATTTGTGTGTCAACCAATGAGCTTGGAGTGACATTTGCAATAATAGTAGACTCGGATATATTCTTTGCTGATGCAACATTGTGAAAGCATGAAAGACAATGTCAAGAAGTTAATCATCAATACATAATAGGAAGATTCTACCTACTTGGAGAGAAAATCAATAAGGAAACTTCAACTTGAGACTCTAAAGTTAAAGAGAGGGGAAGATTCTTATACATGTTCTAGACACTGCCCGAAATGATCGGGTCTTTACATAGTTCAAACTTCAAAGTGAGCCCTGACCAGCTGACAAACTCATCCATTGTGTCGTTTATACACTACACACAACAAAATAACACTTCCATCGAAAAAGATCATCACATCATCAACAAATATAAGATTCCAGATACTCAGCTCAACCATTTTCAAGTGAAAACTAATCCTCCTACTTGCAAACTGAGAGTGAAGGAGTAGAAGATCCATAGCTAATTCTTATATTCAAATAACATACCAAGTTGATATCTTCAGACTTCACTACTTCAGTCAAATTATTTCACATGCGAATGAATGATACGATAATATTTTGTATCTAGCATCAGTGTGAGCAGGTTCCACTCACCTGTTATAAAGTAGTTATATAAGGTTATAAAGGCTTAAATCGTTTTGTGATAAAGATTCTCTAGAAGTAAGTGGTGTCTTGTCCTTGTCGTTGCTAAAGAGATAAAGCTTTGGGGTTAGGGTTTGTCTCCTCATCAAGGCGTAAATATATATGTGAGTATCCCAAAATATGTGAGTTTATTTAATCATATACGTATACATCAAATTATGATGATCCATCATCATTCTTGAATATTGATCAAAATATGTTGTTTAAAAAGTGTAGATCTATGCAGTCGTCATTCTATAGAACTATATTATATGAGTGTTCAGTGGTACGCATATGTACGTTGTTGTAAAAGTTAGCAAATCCCGAAAGCTTGCATGTGAACAAGTCATCGTTGTTCGATCGGTGTGCATCAATCCATCCATATGTATATATATTATAGTTAAGTTGTAAATAACATCTTGTTTTGTGTGGTGTGGTACAGAACGATTGTGACGAAACTCTAGTCAATTAATTATATTGGTTTTATTTTATTTTTAATACTTTTTTGATATTTGAAAGACAGTAAAACGAACAAACTCGTACGTTATCATATATATTCAGTATTGACCTAAGTCTTGCAATCGCAACTAATACTATTATTCAAAATATAAGTGATCCCACGATTAAATGTTTGAATTTATATATGAGCTCTTCTTAAACTCAGATCCTTTGGTGGAGATGGTCTAGAAACCTCATCTTCATCCTCAGCATCATCGTTTGACTCCTAGAGCATATATTGGATGAAATTTTGAAATGTTAGTATTAGACTATGGTTTGATTAGGGTTTATGTAAACTGGTGACATTAGATTAAACCAAAACACTCTACTATATAAACACTCTACGGTTAATGGTTTGGTGTGTTTTGATTTTGCCCAATCAAAATGGTATATCTTTTGTGTTACCAATGATATATGTTTCGTTGTATCTCGTTGGGTTCGTCTATCATATTGGCTTTGATCAGTAAACAAACATTAAAAAGTTGTACAACTAATACATTGTTTAAATTTTACCAATCACAAAAACTTTATCAAAAACTTTATTAAAAACTTTACTCTCTACTTTTCTGTACAGCTTGTTTTCCGGCTTTCCGCCTTCGTCATCTTTCCCGCCTCTCCAACATCTAGGCTGATTTCCTTGCAAAGAATGCCAGAATCCGTGATTGTCTATTCTCCCATATGAGCACTTGAGCACCTTCTTGGCTCTTTCTATCGGAGAATATCTTTCCGATAATGTCATAGTTTCTTTGTTTTTTTCTCGACAAAAAAAAAAAGAAAAAAAAGTATAACTTTTTATGTACCACTTTTTCTACAGTTTTTTTTATTCCAAAAAAATTTACCAGTCCAATTTACAGTTTTGAATACGTTACCAATCGAACTCATTGTTTACATGTCATCTACGTAAGTACATTTATATTTATGTTGAGAAGTGTTTGGTAAGTGGTATGACATGGACGTAAAAACAGAATAAATGGTGTGTAGAGAAAGGAGAGTGACTATAGCATTAAAGGACGGACGTAGTGTTGCCACTTACGTAGGTTTTTGCTTACATGTGTTCTACAATTTCCTCCACAACTTTTTGTTATATCTAATTTTCAATAATATTTATAGTTGTTTGTTATGGTTTTTAATTTCTTATTCAATGCTACTAATTACCTGCCAACGTTCCACCATTTTATATTCCAATTTTTTCAAAACAAATATATAGCATGTCTACACTATATATAAAGGTATTTTAAAATTATATATAGAGATGTACATGTATTTTGGTGTGTAACAATTGTTTATCTTCTAAAATATTTGCGCACTTTATATCAGCACATTGAGTAATATAATAATTAATGTTATTTAGGGTTTGACTGGTTACATAATGGTTCGGACAAAAAATCCGTAAGCAATTTAATCCGTTCTATTTTTACGGTAAACAATAAACTATTGCAAACTAATTTTATTTCTATGTAAAAACGGTTTTTGGTTGGTCTTTTCGGATCCACACAACTACATGTACCATAACATATGAAATGGCGAATAAAAAACGGTTTAATCTATCAACAATTTTTTTTCTTTGACTGTTGTAACTATTCAAAATTTTCAAATTAATTAATATTATATTCAGTATAATAGAACTAATGTTATATATAATTATATAAAAACTCGCATACTTAACAAATAAAATGATAACACATTCAAAAAAATATTTTATTATAAAAACAAATAAAGCATATAACATTTTGTAGCTCATAAAATACATTTGTAACGGTATGTAGTATATTTTTAAGTTATCATTAAAAATAGTTTAGAAAATTAAGAAAAAACAAGTTTAAATGAGAAATCTTAGAAAGAAAAATTGAATATAAAATATGAATATGAATATGAGAAGAATATATATATATATATAATAATAATTATTATTTCGTATGTCATATTTAGAAATGCTTAGTTTTATTTTAATATATCATATTTTAATAGTTATTTAAATAGAAAACAAAAGAAAAGGGAAAGAAACAGAGAATGGGGGAAGAAGGATGGGAAACAGCTGTCAAACAATTGTCGGAAGAGTTGACTTAGATTGGAAAAAACTCTGACAAAACAGCCAACAAGACTTTAGCATTAGATAATGTCTAAAAAGACTTTGGTTGGACCACAACTTCTTTTTTTCAATTATTTAGTGTGAAACTATGCACTCACCCGAATTACAAAAAGATCTCCTTGTCCCCCCTTCATTTTATGGCTCATATTAATCAACTTCAAATCATATAATTATCTCATTAAACATTTAAAAAATGTGATTTGTATACATTTTAATCATTGTTGATGACATAATTTTTGGCATTTTGACATTTGTATTTCCCATTTTAATTTAATATTTTTGAGCTCATTTCAAATTTAGTCTATATATCTATCAGCTGGATTCAAATTTGACATATTGATGTGATCATGTGAACCAAAAAAAAAAATAGGAAAAAGTTTTTCTTTTAATTACAAAATTATTAAAAAAATATGGAATCTCATATGGACTCTGTGTGTATTTATATTCGGTATATGTCTGTCACAAACTTCTCACTTTCTCTCTCTCTCTCTTACTCTCTAAGCCCAAGAACATGATGAAGCAAACCTTGTGCCTTGTTTTGTGTGTTCTCTTCCTCATTTTATCAACAAGTTCTTCTGCAATTCGAAGAGGTATGTTGAATACAGTAATGATTAAGTTTCATAAAGCTTTTATTATCAATACTACCAAAAACATTCTTCCTTCAACTATCGATCTTATTATACCATCAGGTAAAGAGGATCCAGAGCTAATGAATCCATTAGTTTCAGCTACATCAGTCGAAGAAGAAGACTCAGTTAATGTAAGTCCATCTAATTTTTTTTTCCCCCTAAAATATGCTTTCATATGCATTACCAAGAAAATTTGATAGGTGTTTATATAAAAAATATATATATATATATATATAGAGTATTAATGTTGTACTGTCCTAAATTGAAATTTTAACTTGAAAAAAAAAACTAAAAATTATTTTTATTTCTTCCTAATTGTAAAAGATATATCATAATTACAAAATAATAGAAACTAGAAACTAAAGTATAGTTAGTAAATTATATGAGCCAGAGATTAGTAATTTAAACTGTGAGTTTTTTTTTTTGTTTGTCTTTCTAAAAATAGAAACTAATGGGGATGGATGATTGTGGAGAAGGAGATGAAGAGTGTTTGAAGAGAAGGATGATGACTGAAGCTCACTTAGATTACATTTACACACAACACCATAAGCATTGACATTGTTAACTCTATAATTAATTTGCATACATATATGTAATGTCTTTGTGTTGATCTTACCTTTAGAGATATATATATATATATATAAGTATTGTATATGAGTCCTATGTGACAGAACAGCTCCAAGAAAACCAATTTGATTTTGATTCCTTAGCTGCGATTGTTAATTCAGCTCTAATGAAGATTTTAATATATAGTGATTATATTAATGTTTCAAAATTTGTTAAAATTTTGTCTAACACTAGTTTTTATAGAATTATCTCTAATTGTCTCAATGAACAATTTAGTTGGCAAAGAACCTCATATGATACTCGTTCATATGATAAACGGAACGGTTCACTCTCAGACACAACTATGGAGTATAAGGACATAAGAAAACCAAGAAACCCCAACTTCAGATTGTGAATGTACAAAAGGATCTAATGTGTGATGGATTTATGAGATAAGGTATATTGTAGTCTTCGATATGTTTCTATGGTACCATGAACCTTGCATGATGCGTTGAACGGCTTCTCCTGAACTCAGGCGTAGATATATTACTATTACCTTCTTTGATATGGGCTGTACCATTTGAAGGCTTGTCATCCATGAGTGAAGTGTCCTCATGAGCATAGATTACCCTGCGTGGTATATGTAAAACGAAGTT